ATTGACTCAGGAGGACACCTAACCTCCATATGTTCCTGCTGCTGCTGAACAGCAGAGCAATGAAACCACGCAATCGCATTCGTAAAAAAACTTACATTTTTTAATTTTAATTTAGTTTTATTAATAAAATAAAAACAAAAATAATGAGCCATTAGGTGTAAAAAATAGAAATGTTATCTAAAACGGGTCGACCTTTATGTGTTTGTATATATTGGTACCGCTTTGCAGCGGTATACGCGTATTCAAGCATACTTTCCGCTGAGTAATTGAAATATAATATTTATTTTTTCACATAATTCGTCACGACATTAATATTTATCTTTTTTATTCACATTTCACATTGTTTTTTTTTATATTTATATAATAAATAAATCCCGTACAAAATTCAATACAATAACTGTCAAGTGTAGTTTTATTAATAGGGATTGATAAGTTCCTCGCGTGGTCCACCTGTCAAATCGCTGTCGTCGACTTGTTCGACGGATTTGTACTGGGTGAAAACAATATTTTACCTGTTACACCAAAACTTGTCGATTTAACAATATTGTGAATTTTGTATTATTTGTGAACAAAACCTATTCAATTGTTTTTACTTTTCCGCACACACCTAGTGTGTAAGGTTAAGTATTGGAATCGGTCGAAAAATTAACACCCATCAAAAATGTGTTTTCTGGGTGTTTTTGGGGCCAGGGAACACGAATCTAGCGTTTTTTCGATGTCCGAATGTATGTGCGTACCCTGTACCCTGTAACCTGTACGCAAAATTTTTTTAACACGATAACTTTCAAACAAGAAAAGTAATTCAAAATCTGACTTCACAGGATGATTGGGGGTGCCGAGGAATAGAAACCATTAGATTTTGAGCGACTTTGGTTGATAGAGTAAAGTGACATGCCTGGTGTGATGCCCATGGCCATCCATGGGAAAAATTCAATTTTTCTTCCAAAAGTGATATTTAATGTATTCTTAAACACTCAAAAATGTGTATAGGGCGGTTTTTGGGTACGAGAAAACCGAATATGACGTTAGTTTTGCGATACAATTCATTTTCGACACACTTTTCATACAAAAATTTCAAAAAAATTATAGTTTTGTATGGGAGCCATGCTTGTATGATATCGTAATGAGCTGAAACTTTGCACAGGTTATTTTTATCACACGAAAATACCATTCCGAGAGTTTGAAGACATTTCAATGCATATGAGGGGTACCCCCCGAACAAAATTTTGGATTTTTCGCTCAAAAACGAAATTTTGTATGGAAAGTACCCTTATTTTTAATTGAACGTTTTCCAAACTCTCAGAATGTTAATTTTTCGTGAGAAAAATAACCTCTGCAAATTTTCACTTGATACGATATCATATAGGCATGGCTGCGATACTACTGTGATCAAAAAGTAAGGTGAATTTGTGAATATTTTAGAAAATCTTTATTTCTCTTCCAAATCGATTTCATCGCCTTCAAAGTAATCCCCCCCGGCTGCAATACACATACGCCAACGTTTTTCCCAGTCTTCGAAACAATGTGAAAAGCTACTTTCTGGTATGGCCTTCAATTCATGTAGCGATTTACGTTGAATCTCTTCAATCGACTCGAAACGATGTCCACGAAGCGGTCTTTTGAGTGTAGAGAACAGCCAGAAGTCACACGGTGCCAAATCGGGCGAATATGCAGGTTGCGGAACGATATGAGTTGAATTTTTAACGAAATAGTCTCGAATAATCAATGCAGTGTGAGCTGGTGCATTATCATGATGCAAAAGCCAAGAGTTGTTTGCCCATAATTCCGGCCGCTTCTTTCGAATTGCTTCACGCAATCGACGCATAACATTCAAATAATATTCCTTGTTAACAGTTTGGCCGGTTGGAAGAAACTCCGAATGCTCCACACCACGATAATCGAAAAATACTGTCAACATAACCTTGATTTTTGACCGGCTTTGACGCGATTTTTTCGGTTTTGGTTCACCTTTCAAACAATATTCACTCGATTGATTGGCCATTTCGGGATTTATAGTCTGAAATCATTTCTTGACACACATTAACACGACGCTCTTTTTCGAATAAATTCAATGTTTTTGGTACCAATCGAGCTGCACAACGACGGAGACCTAAATGATCTTTCAAAATTGTTTGAATTGATCCAAATGAAATGCCAGTAATATCTACAAGGATTGTCAATCGACGATTTTTCAGCACAAGATCTTTGATTTCCTTGACGTGTTCCTCATCAGTTGATGTTGATGGTCGTCCCGAGCGATCTTCGTCTTCAACGCGTTCTCTGCCTTCTTTGAACAATTTATGCCATTTGAAAGTATTTTTTTGCGACATGGCCTGTTTACCGAAGGCCTTCTGCAACATTCTGAACGTTTCCGCACCAGAAATTTCATTCCGCAAACAAAATTTAATACAATATCTTTGCTCAACAAAATCAGTCATTATGAAAATCGCCAAATGAAAATTTCTTGATGTAAACAAAGTAGCGTAGCTCATAACCTAATCGAAATACTGTAATGAAATGTTACACAGTTATCAAAAACAGTGCTGCCAACCTAATAAAAAAATTGATGATTGCTGTAAAATCTCTTTTACTACAGAAAAAAAAACTATTGGGGGTGCAACTTAAAAACCGGAATTTTTTAATGAAAAATGAAGGTTTATTTAAAGGAACATGTAAAATATATTTTATTCAAAGTACTGTTCATCGTTAGCCACTACTTTTTCCCATCTTTCTGGTAGCATACGGATTCCGCGTCGAAAGAACGTCTCATCTTTTGAGGCTATCCATTCATCGACCCAATTTTTGACTTCTTCGGAAGAACGAAAATGCTGCCCAGCCAAGCCATGCGTCATCGATCGAAATAGGTGGTAATCGGAAGGAGCAATGTCTGGGCTATACGGCGGGTGGGGTAAGACATCCCATCGATTTGCTTCCAAATAGTTTTTGACACGCTGTGCAATATGTGGCCGAGCATTGTCATGTAGCAAAATCACTTTATATAAATTTATATATCACTAAATATTTGTTTTTATTGTTTTGACAGCTGTTTAATGGCACTTTCAAATGACATATATTTCATTGATATACTGCAACGCAATCACAAGTGTTGACATCTAGCGTCAAATTCCGGTTTTTAAGTTGCACCCCCAATAATAATAAAAACTACGGCAAACAGTTTAACAAATGCATCATATTATCCAGGTCTATTTTTTATATTCAATATTAATAAGTGGAATTCTGTTCGATATGATCATCTACCGATACAATTAAGTCTGAAATAAACAAATTCTCAGGCGTATGAAGTAGGAATAGTATTCAAAATAGTAACTTACAAACATGATTTTTTACTTTTGACCACTTCAACCTTTTCTACTTCTGCTCTGCAAATGTAAACACGGTACCGTATACACCGATTGCACATTCATTTGACTTTGTGTCAGGTTGAATAGATGTTGGTTCATAATTTCTTACCACAGAGCCATTTTTATTTTCATTCAGTTCGGCCGTTATAAAGAGCCGCTTAGTCGATGTTACAAGATTTACGTACACATCAACATCTCCAATTGTTTTCCATATTCTAACCTTTTTAGAGGTGTGAATTACTTGGATATAATTCGCATGACCTTTCTTGATGGTATTCTAGAATTTTGTTTCAAACGGAGGAGTTTTTATTGGAGCCAAAGCTATTTGAAATCAACACATTTATTTTTTTCTGCCCATGAAAAACAACGATAAAGCTTTTCCGTTATTTAGCTCATCAATCAAAGTTGACGGGATACTTCCATTTAGATCAGCAGTATAAAAGTCATCTTGACTGTGGAGAAATTTATATGAAATTTGAACAGGAATGGACACAAAACAAAAAGCTATCAAAATGAAAAATTCAAACCTAGTGTACATACGATTCTGATGTTATGCACGCAAATGTAATTAAGTCTCCTTCTTTTTGGCAATTACACCCTTTTAAAAATGCAAAAGAAATGATCGCGCCCAGAATGATAATTTTTTTACTTAATCTTTTTCTCTTTATTTCAAGCATGTTCAACAAAATTTGATTGCTTACTCGACTGAAGTTCAAATACTGCACCGTCTCATGATACGTAAATATTTAAATAAGAAAAAAGAAAAATTCCAAAAACTGATGTATCATTATTATCAAATAATCCATTTTACTCGTATAAACATAATAAATTTTACTCATTTGCTAAATAGTTGAATTATTATTTTACGTTTTTTTCTCTATTTTTTGGAATGAAAAATTTAAATGAGAAAATCGTCAGTTAGATAAACATATTCTTAATATCGAAAATTCTTTAACAAAACGACACAATTTTATAAAAAATTACTGATTAGATAGAGATTATCGGGTCCGATCTCTTGAAATTGGATGCCAAATGAAACGGTATGTTCGACCTTGTATTCGGCTAGTTCTGTCGTTATATTCAAATGGTGTTTTCTTTGTCTTCGTCGTCACTGATTAAAATGATATCCATACGTCCACGTTTTGCGTTGTCCACAATTGCACTTCGATTAGCTGTCACAGATGCACATGATTTACTTTCGTTTCCGATACTTGCACCATCATCTTTTTCAGCAGCTGTTTCATCTTTTGACATTTTTGATCGCTTTTGAGGTTGTTCGGCTTGTTCTTTAATCGGAGTTAATGTCAAATTATTCCGACGAGAATGTGAACGCTGTAAATAATGAAAATATATAAAATTAATAATCAGTTAATTCAAGTATCAATGTGAATTGAATGGAATTGATTACTCACCAAAGTTTGACGGGCATTAGTTTTTGGCGTAGATGCATTCACACAATCTGGATCTATCATCTATGCTCATTGATTCAATAGAATTATATTTAACGTGACCGGTTTCAGGATACTTGTTTTTTACCTTCTTAACTTTTATGTTGGTCGATGATAATAAACTCGATGGACAGTTCGATGGCGATTGTAGAATCGTCCTTGACGTAACCACAATCCGGGTTAATCAAATAATCCCATGCCAAAGAAAATTCTGTCTCCATCGCCGTAGATGAGCCAAGTTGTTTTACTTTTTCAGTCTCAAGTGGGATAAGCGATGAATCCAACTTACATGACATTTTCATTTGGTAATTGAATTCATATTCATCGTCAATAACCAATCGGTCCGATTTATTTTTGAACACCGTAATTAGCGGTATTCTATATTTTTGAATTCAAACTTCGATGATAGTATCACTGCAATCAATTGGTCAATTTTCTTGACCATCAATAGAAATTTAATGGATCGGTCATCAATCGGGGTTTGTACAAACCAGAGCATCTTGATTTGCTGCTGCTCAGCATATAGCTGAGAGCTGAGAAATGCTGAACTCGTGCGGCTAACGCATAAGAAACGGATGACACGCACACATGCATTCTCCCCGTTTAAACGGTTATAAACAGTTGTTTGGTCGTTCAATTCAAAACTCAAAACTTAGTAACCAGTTGAGTTTGAAATTGTGTTGCGACCGACATATGAGAAGCTGCGAGAAAAACATCACGTCGCATCCCTCGTTATTTTGCTTACGTAAGTGAAAGCAAGAGATGAGATGCGACGTGCTGTTTTTGCTCTCAGTCTTTCATATATTCTGAAAGTGTACGTCTAACGCATACGAAACGGAAGCACGATACATATTCCCCTTTCACTTCGTATGTTCGCTGGTATAATGTGTAAACGTTGTACCGGCAATAGCGTCAACGGCAGCACATACGAAGCGAAAGGGGAATATGTATCGTGCATCCGTTTCGTATGCGTTAGCCGCACGAGTTCAGCATTTCTCAGCTCTCAGCTATATGCTGAGCAGCAGCAAATCAAGATGCTCTGGTACAAACTGCAATTCACACATACTCTTCTCTTTTGGATCATTTGATTTATTTGTTACTGACAATTTTATGTCGTTATTTTTTGTAAAAAAACCATTTGTTTGGTTCATTAAATCGTCCCAGGCAATTAATGAGTCAACATCCCACCCGAATCCGTTCCCAAACACATGCGGGTTAGCATACTCTACGTTATCACATATGTCTCCATGCAATTTTACTGACATCGACGCAATATATGGTTGACGTGTATTATTCAAACAATACAAGTAGACGCCAAGATGTGGTTTTGATTTATAATCGTGTTTTAGAACGCAAATTTCCCATGGATCGATCATCTTGTTCTTTGGTGTATACCAAATTTTACCGTTTAATTTTCCGATATTTGGAACTTCAATAATTTTGGTAGAAATATTCTCCATCATGAACACCAGTAAATACAAATACACTCAAAATGCACTTTAAATAACACTGTATGAATTAAGTATAAATTATGTCCGAACTCTCTTAAGCTTTTTTACTGGACGAAGTGTTCTCTTGAAATGAAACTGATATGCAACAATCACACGCAATATAAGTATATTTGAAAAAGTAAGTAGTCAGAAATTGTGTCATTATAATGTCAAATGCATTGTCATTTACATTTTGTTGATATATATGTATTTGTTACTTTACTGATGATAATGTTAAAATGAACAACCCGGGGAAGCCTACCAGACGATATGGGTATGATTTTATGGCGGTAGAAAGTAGAATTTACATTATAGACTACAAAATATCGATACAGCGCTGTAAAACTCCCATTATACAATGTGTGTTCACAATTTTTAGAATCCTTTTTCACACACACAAAAAACAGTAGTAGTGGTGTATAACAGTAGTAGTGGTGTAGTAACTGGTATATTGCAAATTTACCAATGGTTGTTAAAATATCTATTGGTAATTTCATAAAATCGTCACTACAACAGCATAACTGGCACTTATTTCGGCGCGATGGACCAAATGTCAACTGAGCTATTTTAATGACGATTGTATGAAAATATCAATAGATATTTTAACATCCATTGTTAAATTTGCATTTACACCAATACATTTAAACAGCTCTACTACCAATGTTTTGTGTGTGCATTTACACATAAGGAATCCTAATTTTACGTAAATGAAATACAAATAAAGAGTCTTACAGGAGTAAGACGAACTTTTCCACACGGTGTGGTAGATACGTGTTTTATTAAGCTAGTTCAAAATAATATTTGTTCGATTTTTCAAGCCTTTCAAGCGGCGTTCAAACCTTGGCATCGAAATATTATTTAATTTAATAGCAGAAGTACTCGGAAAAGATTTTTCACACTTCATGATGAACCCATTTGTACGACATTTGAAAGAATTCTATTTTCTATAAAACACTATAAAAAATATGTCTGATGATAATTTCGCCATAAACATTATTTTTGAAACACTTTTAATACAAAAGTAAAACAAAATGGATTTTTGTATGGGAATCATGCCTGTATGGTATCGTAAGCACGTGAAACTTTGCACAGATTAATTTTTTTCACAAATAAATAACATTTGGAGGGTTTGGAGAAATTTCAACCAAAATTAAGAGTACCTTCCATACAAAATATTCGTTTTTGAACCAAAAATTTAAAATGTTGTATGGGAGGTACCCCTAATTTTGATTGAAATTTCATCAAACTTTCAGAATGTTATTTTTTTTGTGTAAAAAAAAGTCTGTGCAAAGTTTCACGTCATTTCAGTAGCATACAGGCATGGCTCCCATAGAAAAATTCAAATTTTTCGTGATTTTTTCTAATAAACTCTGGTAAAACTTAATTGTATCTCAAAATTAACGTCAGATTCGGTTTTCTCGTGCCAAAAAACCCCCCTATACATATTTTTGAGTGTTTAAGTCTACATTTAGTATGACTTTTGGACGAAAATTGGACTCTTTTTCATAGGTATCACTCCAGGCATGAAATTTTTTTCCGTCAACCAAAATTACTCAAAATCTAATGATTTCTATTCCTCGTGATCCCCAATCATCCTGTACAGTCAGATTTTGAATAACTTTTCTGGGGGGTGAGATAATCGATGGACAAATTTTGCGTACAGAGGACAACGTACGACGTACGACGTGGAACAGACCCACAACAACCATGCTCAAAACGGCCTGATTCGGGTTCTCTGACCTTAGAAACGTCCAGAAAACATGTTTTTGAGGTTTCCTAAATTTTGACCCATTGCAATACTTTCCACTTACACACTCGGTGTGTGCGGAAAAGTAAAAACGATATCATAACTCATTTTGACCTTTTTGAGTATATTGCCTACTTTACCTTAATAAGGCAGTAAAGTTGAAAGAGCTTTATTACATGCATATGTATTACATTCCGAAGGAAAATAATTTTTCAAAAATCTAACACATATTAACCTGCTAAATCCTGTCCTCTTGAGCAACGAAATTTTTTAATGCGCAACAGGGAGTAAAACAATTTTAAGATTTCGAGATCTCACAATTTTATTTATCATTCAGAAATATTACTTGTCAATTTCACTAATTTTGCAAACAAATAAAGGACCACCGCAAAGAAAAATTAAAACAAACAAACAAAGATGTTTATAGAAATGTAATATAAAAAACGTTGATGTTGATCAACAATCATTTTTTATCTATAATCTGTACACATCTCTGTATGATGTAGGAAAAACCAGTGTGTCTCGACAATGGAATGATGATGAACTGGTCGCACAATGTTTGATTTTCTTTATCGCTGGCTACGAAACTCCGTCAATGATGCTAATGTTTATTGCATATGAACTTTTAGCCAATTCAGACATCCAACAGAATCTTTATGAAGAAATTGAGATTGTGGATGAGCAACTTGGAGGAAAGAAAAAATGAAATATTCAGATCAAGTGGTCTGTGAAGCACTGAGAAAATGGCCAGTTCCGATTCAAATGGATCGTAATTGTGTAATAAATTATCTTTATGATGATGGACACAAAATGAAATTCAAAATAGAAAAAGGATCGAATATTGTATTTCCAATTTACGGACTACATCATGATACGAAATTCTATCAACAGCCGGATAAATTTGATCCGAAACATTTTAGCGATGAAAACAAACAGAATATTTTGCCAGGAACTTATTTGCCATTTGCACTGGGTCCAAGAAATTGTATTGGTGAATTTCAATTTAAGAAGTTTGATGAAGAAAAAACATGAAAATTAATTATTAAATATATTTTCAGGCTCAAGATTTTCATTAATGGAATTGAAGACAATTTTATACTATACTTTTCAACCAAATCCAGACACATAAATTCCATTAAAATTGAAAAAGAAGCCATTTCTCATAACCGGAAAAGGGGTGCATTTGGAGTTCAAAAAACGGGATGAGTAAAAATCATTTCAAACTTTTTTTGCATCGATGGTGATTTTGAAAAATAAAACAAAATATGACGATAAATTGAGAGTGTTTTTATTTTTTATTCAAGTTCAAACATGCGGCATGGCAGATTAAGAAAGAATTGAATTAAGTTTTGGTTGTTAACACGACTTGAGTCCAAATAATTTTCTATTTTTCTCAGAATCAGTGCATAAACACTAAAACTGAAACAATGTAACATTGCCAATATTCGTCATTGTCCAAGAACCGCTGCGAACTAGAATGCCACGGCAAAATGATTGTTTATTATTCCTGTGTGTTGATATAACATCTGAAAATATCACTTTTTATAGCATCAACGTACTCCGCAGTCCGCATGAAGAAAATGACAGAAAAATTTTGAGATATAAACAAGTATCGCATCGAAACACTCTCATCATAACTACAACTTTTGTACTTTGGTTAGAATGAAATGGCAATTGATTTTTTACTCTTTCAATTTCATTCTTCGGTGACGGAACTTGTCGAAAAAAATCGTCTGTGTTCAAATTATATATATACAAAACAGGCGACAATGTTTCGAAACAATTTATTCTGTAGTCTCTTTGCGGTAATTTACCAAATCAGTTTTAGTTATAACACACTTTATAAACGTATCCATTTTGAACCAAAATAAAATCCCGATAAATTGCAAAACATGATTCATAAGTATTAGATCAATTACCTTACACACCTTCAACTTGAAGTTGAGATGAATTTAATAAGTTACGTTTTCATGGTATGTGTTTTTATTCAATAATACGCTCGCATTCTATTCTTATCAAAAAAAAGTGATAAGATACACACAAATACAATGACAAAAGCAACACTCATCTCTCAGCCACAATACATTGTCGTCGGCTCCTTACGGCGTGAGTATGCATTCACATTACGAATAATCGTTAATCATTTTTTTTTTCTTCGTATGATTTTTCAAAATTCTTTCTTTAATTCATTTGAAAATTTGATTTTTTTCAATTATTTAATTTCTTAATTTTCTCCAAAGAAACTCTTTGACATTGGGCTAAACATTCATTTCATAGATTTGGTATCAGTTCACATTCAGACTTCACTGTGACATGTACACACAAGCTACACGACTGTGTGTAAAGTCACGAACCAGCAAATACAACGTCTTTTTTGACGCTCTCTGTGTGTAGACGTCAACTGTAGTAACCAAGCAATAGAGAGAAAAAAAAACTCTCGTTCAGCCATATTGAAAGAGTCTTTTATCGAGGTACTTTTTTTGGTGATAAAACGGTGAAGAAAACAATAAATAAAACACACATTAAAAATGCCCAACCAAGAAATGAATGAATTTGAGAGAGCAAAAGTGCATGATTTTGGGAACATGAAGTTCAAGCCAGAAATTCAGAATTTTATTGATAAAAGTCATTTGAAAAAACCATCAAACGGTAAGTTCACATGTAATGGTAAATAGCACGAAAAATACATACACGAATCGTATCATGAGCTAAATTTGGTAGTTAGAAGGAAAAAAAATGAAAAAAGAAATAATGTGTGTATATTTTCTATTTCATTTTTCAGCCGATGTGAAGTGTATTCGTCGATTTGTGGATGGATTTAACATCGTTTGCGGGGCCAAACTAAGTAAGACTATCATGTGACAAATGTGTTTCCGTTTCTCAACGAATGTTATTGTATTGATTGTTTTCAGATATGGACAAAAGTGATGTGCTCGTGCTAGCAACCTCGCAGCTATTGGAACCAACGAAAAATATTGAAATATTAGTCATTTGTTCCTCTCTAGATTTTGCTGATGTTATCAAAAAAAGATACAAGGAATTAAATGTAGAATCGAAAGTTTACATCTGCTCTGAAAAAGAAGATATCATAATCGAGACACTGAAAGCAGAGACACCACACACCGTTATCGGCACTCTTGATTGTATTTCAAAGCTTATTGAATTGAAGGAAATCGAGTGGGAGCATTTGAAATACTTAATTTGGGATGAATTTGACAAAATTTCGGAACCAGTGGGTAAGCCTAATCTTGAACAAACGACAAATTGATCGTTGGACAAATTAATCCTCTCTTTCTTTCTCCTTCTCTCTCTCTCTCTCTCTCTCTCTCTTTCATCTCTCACACACAAAACATACGAAACATTCGTAGGAATTCGTTACGCATTAGTCAAAGATATATTACAAAAAACTCCGCAAATTAAACGAGTCATGATGTTTGCTTCGAGTGTATTTAGTGAAGGAGAACGAATTATACACAAGGCGATTTTGAAAAATGTACGTAAATATAAATTAAACACGCGAACGGTTTTAATCTCACGCTTTGTACAACAGCCCGATTTCGTGGATTTCATCGTCGCTGATCCATCTCCAACCGATTTCGGTTGGAAGTAATTGAAAAAAAAATTGACATTTTCCTTTCTTTTTCTCTCTTTTTTCGGTTTATGTTTTCCCTACTCCCATAATAATTATAATAAATAGCCAATATTCGTCGATAATGAGACCAAATTGATTTTGCATGGTTTGCGTCATTATTACATCAAAACTCAAGAGCGTGAGAGGGTCGAGAAGATATTAGAATTGCTGGAAGCAATGAACCCCGATAAAGCAGTTATTTTTGTGAATTCGCATGCAGCTGAATATAAAGAAATCTTTTCATACCTACCGAAATATGAACAGGTATCATTTGCATTTATCTTTTGTAGTTTACATACCAAGCAAGTCTCTTAAAATCATTGCTTTTAAACAGTTTGATCAGCGCATTTTGATCACAACTCATTTGAACGCACATAATACGGAGAATATTCAAGGAGTCAAGATGATTATCAACTACGATTTGCCAAACGATGCCGATGCATACATTGATCGTGTGAACTGTGTTGCAATGAACCGCTCAACAATCATTACATTCGTTTCAAATGAGTAAATATCTACAAAATGAACGGATATTATTGAATTTCTTCTTTGATTCGCAATTATGCCAATATTTTACTAATTCAATGTATTGATTTGAATAGGGATGCTGAAATGTTGGAAAAAATTCAAAAGCGTTTCGATATCAAAATGACGGAAGTTTCTGAAGTAACTGCAGTCGTATCCTGGGTTTATCGATTCGAAAGGTTTTTAGATAGTTTGATCTGTTGTTTTATTTCTTGGTGTGAATTACTTCATTGAAGTTAAATTGGTTTTCAATCTCAGTTTAGCACATTCATTTGCAAGCACTTCATTTTTAAAGCCCTTTTTTCAATTGTTATTATTTAGGAATATTGTAGTAAACGAATGAATTTTAATGAATTTTAATGAATTATATTAATTTTTATAGGCTTCATTGCCCACCACTTTCTCGGGATATGGTTCAAGTTTTATACCAGAAAATAAAGAGTATTACAAAAAAATGAGCAAAAGATGCATATATCGTATACTTGGATGGTTTTAATGCTTAAAATAGCACACTTTTCATCAATTAATAGAAATTAATTTGATGGAGTACTCCAATCTCTAATCTCGTGTGTTACGTGTATTATTAGAAACTTACTTATGGGTTCAACTGAACGAGACGTTTTTTCACTCCAATGAAAAAGGATATGATTTACGCGGATACCTGAACTATTTTAATCAAACTTGCGTAGTCATCTATTTTTAAGGAATGTTTTTTTTTAATTTGACGTCATATGTTTATTTTCGGAATATCTTTTTAATCATGATTGAAAATGACTGCAGTCAAATTTCATAGAGATAATGAATAAATGCAATTATTTTATGAAACAAAAATGTTATTTGTATTTCATCGGTCGGAATGTGTGTACTTATGTTACACTACCATTATGATAAAGGCAAGAATCGTCTTCAGTGGAACATTTCGATTGTCGACTCTTCAAATCCGGCTGGTTCAATGGAATTCAGTTGCCCATCATCCATTCCGGCCGATTTCTTCCCGGTTGAAGTGACATTTGTATCAAAAGTACCATATGCTGAATTGAAAGTCTTACAAGTTACGAAAATTGAAGATGGTTCAACTGTACCATTCTTAGTGGAAACCGGTGGAAACGGTATTTTATCCAGAAAAATATGAAATTGCCTAAAGTGAATCACATCCATTCAATTGCAAATTATGTATCATTAATATTCCAATGCGCGAAATTATTATTCGGAAGGTGTTATTATTTCAAATTACTATTATAAAATACAATATGCTTATTCATTGTCAAATAAATTGATTTTTTTTGAAAACCGACATTTCATGTGGATTTTTTTCATCGAATCAAAGAATAAGCAGCCCAATTATTTTGATTTCTCTTTCTCTTACGGAGGCTGAAAGAAAAAAGATTTGCCGTGTATTGAGTAGAAACATTGTTCGATGCAAACTAACTTACTTTTTTTTATTGACCTCTTTGAAATCTTCCACTTCTCGTCTACAAATGAGACATTTCGATGCTTCGGTTTGGGCGTTTTCCCATTCAAACCAACAAGTAATACATGTTTCCATATGTTTGCACGGCAATAAAAGTGCATTTTTCTTATTTTCGCAGCATAATATGCAATCCTCATCTTCTTCTTCAACTTCTTGAGGTCCCGAAATAATATACTTGAAATTGCCAACTCCTCTCCAGAAAATTGGATCACCGTTTTTCAAGAAAAATCCAAATTTTTTTCCACGATGACTTACATTCAGGGTACCGTGTACACCGATTAAACATGGCTCAGCGACATAAGTGCTCGGACGTTCGGTCATTCGGTCGGACATA